CCCATTTTCTGTGGCCGTTTACGGTTCGGTACGCGGCGCATCAGATCAACCTTCACCCCAGGGTCTCCATGCCGGAGACCTCCCCAGCTTTGCTGTGGACGGGGAAGGTTGGCGATGCGTCTGCGTTCCGTGTCTGGGGATCTCGGGCGTTTGTCCGTGACTTGTCTGCGGACAAGCTGTCCCCTCGTGCTGCTCCTTGTGTCTTCCTTGGCTTCCCCCCTGACGCGCCAGGTTGGCAGTTCTACCACCCCTCCTCTCGTCGTGTTCTGTCCTCCCAGGACGTCACCTTTGACGAGTCGGTGCCCTACTACTGTCTCTTCCCCTACCGCACTCCTTCACTCCCCCCACCTCCGCTCTTCCTAGTGCCAGGTCCCCCCCCGGTAGACCCCCTCCCCCCTCAGGGTCCTGCCCCTTCAGGTGTGTCCCAGGTAGACGCAGTCGAGCCGGTCGAGGTTGCTGGTGACTCTGGTACTGCTGCGGGTGCTGAGCCTGGGGGTGCTGACTCTGGGGGTGCTGCGCGAGTGGGTGCTGAGCCTGGGGGTGCTGACTCTGGGGGTGCTGCGCGAGTGGGTGCTGAGCCTGGGGGTGTTGAGCCTGGGGGTGCTGAGCATGGGGGTGCTGCGTCTGGAGCTACTGAGCCTGGAGGTGCGGAGCCAGCGGCCGCTGGACCTGCTCGTGTGGCGTCTGGCGGTGCTGGGCCTGGAGGTTCTCCGGGTGCTTCATCTCCTCGGGAGCCACTCTCTCCACAGGAGCTGCGCGAGTGGTTTGCCCGGCGCTGGAGGCGTACTGCTAGAGCTGGAGCTTCTTCAGCCGCTGAGGGTGCTGGTGCCGCCGGTCCCGGAGTTGCTCGTCCTGGGAGTGCTGGAGCTGCTGGGCTTGCGGGTACGATTGGAGCTGGAGCTGCTGAGGGTGTTGGCGCTGAGGCTACTGCTGTCAGTCCTGGAGGCAGTCCTGCTGCGGGTGCTGCTGGTGCTGCTGGAGGTACTGCAGCTGGAGGTGCTGTTGGCGCTGGTGCTGCCGCTGGTGCTGGTGCTGTCCCTGCTGTGTCTGGAGTCGCCGCGCGGCCTCGGCCGTACTTCGTTCCACTCCTTCAGCAGGTTCTTGGTCCTCCTCCTCCCTTAGAGTGTCCACCGCCTGTCCAATCACAGCCACAGTTACCGCCGGCCTCCCCACTGCCTGCTCCTTCTCCCTACACTGGTCCTACTGGAGGTCTTGCTGAGCGTCGTGAGCCTGCGTCTCGTCCTGCGTCGCCTGTTCGTGCTGCTCGCCCTAGTGGTCGCGGTTCGCGTCAGCGTCCTCCTCCTGTCCCTTGCACGCACCGGATGTCTCTGTGTCAGTCCACTGCTCCTCTGCGTGCCCCTTTGCCTTCTCCTCCTGAGTCCTCTCTTCCTGCACTTGCCGACCCGGAGTCGGACTCTCTTCGTGCTGCCAGTCCTACTGTCACGCGTCTCCTTGCTACTGTCGTCACTGACCCCTCCTTTGAGTCCATTGTTGCGTCTGCTCTTGTTGCTGAGCTCGTCGACTTTGCTGCTCGCTGTCGGCTAGACTACGCTGCTAGTCTTGTTGCTGAGTCTGCGTCTGTCTGTCCTCCGTCCGTCAGGGGTGAGTGTGCTCTTGGCACGGACGTCCTTTAGGACAGGCAGGAGGAGTTCTAGTGTCTGGCTGCTGCTTCACCTCATCTCGTGTTTGTACTGCTTACCCCTGAGGGAGACCCGGATGCACTTGACATCCCGACTCCGCGCTCTTACGCAGAGGCCGTAGAGGGTCCCTACTCCTCTCAGTGGCAGGCAGCTATGGATGCAGAGATGGCTTCCTAGAAGTCCACAGGCACCTACGTTGACGCGGTTCCCCCACCTGGGGCGAACATCGTCAATGGCCTGTGGATCTTGAGGGTGAAGCGGCCGCCAGGTTCTCCACCTGTCTTCAAGGCGCGGTATGTGGCTCGTGGCTTCAGTCAGCGGCAGGGAGTTGACTACTTTCAGACCTTCTCTCCCACCCCGAAGATGACCACTCTTCGGGTGCTGCTGCACATAGCCGCTCAGCGTGACTACGAGCTTCACTCCCTTGACTTCAGCACTGCTTTCTTGCAGGGTAGCCTGCACGAGGAGATCTGGCTGCGCCGTCCACCTGGCTTCACTGGGACTTTTCCTCCTGGCACCCAGTGGAGCCTCCGACGGCCAGTCTACGGTCTCCGCCAGGCACCGCGTGAGTGGCACGACACACTGAGGACTACGCTTGCGGCTCTTGGGTTTGCTCCCTCTACTGCCGACCCGTCACTGTTTCTACGCACCGACACCTCTTTGACGCCGTTCTACATCCTCGTGTACGTCGACGACTTGGTCTTTGCCACTGCTGACACTACTGGACTCGCCCACGTGAAGTCGGAGGTGCAGAAGAGACACACGTGCACAGACCTGGGTGAACTGCGCAGCTACCTTGGCTTGCAGATCACCCGGGACAGAGCACGCCGCACCATTACCCTGACTCAGTCACACATGGTGCAGCAGGTCCTTCAGCGCTTCGGCTTCACGTACTCCTCGCCTCAGGCCACTCCTCTGTCTACTCGCCACTCGCTCTCAGCTCTGCCTTCGGATGAGTCCGTAGAGTCGAGTGGCCCGTACCCATTGCTTGTTGGCTGCCTCATGTACCTGATGACCTGCACACGACCTGACCTTGCATACCCTCTTAGCATTCTTGCACGCTATGTTGCTCCTGGGAGACACAGACCAGAGCACATGGCTGCAGCGAAGAGGGTGTTGCGCTACTTGTGCAGTACGTCGGGCATGGGGCTAGTGCTTGGAGGGCAGAGTCCAGTGGTCCTCACTGGGCACGAAGACGCTTCTTGGGCTGACGACCAGGCTACACAGCGGTCGTCACAGGGTTACACCTTCAGCCTTGGTTCCGGCTCTGTTTCGTGGCGGGCTACTCGCTCGTCTTCTGTTCTCGGCTCCGGTTGTGAGGCTGAGATCTACGCAGGAGCCATGGCTGCTCAGGAGCTACGCTCGCTCACCTACCTGCTGACTGACCTCGGAGAGTCGCCCCGTTCTCCTCCAGTGCTGTACGTAGACAACAAGGCCATGCTGGCCTTGTGTCGGGAGCAGCACCTGGAGCACAGAACGAAGCACATTGCTCTCCGCTACTTTCTTGCTCGTGAGCTGCAACAGCATGGTCAGTTGCGACTTGCGTACGTGGCCTCTGAGGCCAACACTGCTGATATCTTCACTTAGGCTCTTGCGCCTTGTGATCATCAGCGCTTCTGTACTCAGCTTGGTCTTGTGCCTGTCTTGCCTCACTTGCTCACTTCTTGACCTTGCTTGTACTGTCACATATATATACTCGTGCTCTTGCTTGTTTAGCCTTTTATATATATATGTGTGCTCCTGCATGTGAACTGGCCGTCTGGCCTTGAACTTGTGCTCGGAATGTGTGGTGACTTTGTGATCCACCCTGAGCTTTGCTTTCCTTAGCTTGACTAGTCTTGTGACCCCTTGTTCTCCCCCACTTTGCCTATGGGGGTGTGTCAGATTTGTATGACATAGCTGTTGTAGGCTATAGTGGGGTAGCACATATGGGGTACAGCTTTCTAGGGTTGTATTTGTACCCAACTTTCACTTAGTCATTTCATTCTCGTTTCAGTTTTCTCAGGGTAGATACTGTGGGGTATACCCCCTTAGGCTTTTCTCCTTGTACCATTCTCTTGATAGTCCAATCTTCCATGCCTAAGTTTCTAAGATGGTATCTAGAGCAATAGGTCTTTAGGACCTAAGATTAGGGCCCACCGGTTACCGCGTTACCTCACCTACGGCCTTGCCTGCCTGCCACCTTGCCTGCTGCCCGCGCGCGCCTTGGCTGCACGCGCGCGGCCCCTATTTTTTTCCCGCACGCGCCGCTTAAGCAGCCCGCACTGCCCGTTTTCGGCCCCGTGCGCCGCGTCAGCCGCCCGCGCAGCCTGCTGCCGGCCCGCGCGCCGCTTGCTGCCCGCGCGCAGCCTGCTTAGGCCCCGCCCGCGCAGCTCGCCGCCGCACGCAGCCCGCAGCCGCGCGCAGCCCGCAGCCGAGCATGCCCTACCCGTGCGCCGCCCGTAAGCCGCGCGCCTGCCTATCTTCTGCGCCTCCCAGGAGCGCCTGCATTGAGCGCTTGCTTGCCTTGAGCGCCTGCCTGCCTTGAGCGCCTGTCTGCCTTGAGCGCCTACCTGCATTGAGCGCTTGCTTGCCAAGAGCGCCTGCCTGCCAAGAGCGCCTGCCTGCCTTGAGCGCCTGCCTGCCTTGAGCGCCTGCCGCCAAGAGCGCCTGCCTGCCAAGAGCGCCTGCCTGCATTGAGTGCCTGCCTGCCAAGAGCGCCTGCCTGCCAAGAGCGCCTGCCTGCCTTGAGCGCCTGCCTGCCTTGAGCGTGTGCCTGCCTTGAGCGCCTGCCTGCCTTGAGCGCCTGCCTGCCTTGAGCGCCTGCCTGCCTTGAGCGTCTTTCCTGCCGCGCGGGCCTCCCTACCGCGCGCGTTTGCTTGCCCTACGTGCCATCTCCGCTGCCTTGCCTGCACTGCTCCTATGGCGACGCTTAGTGTGCTCGCGTTCGATCCTGACGGTCGTTTAGTAGAGTTCGCCACCTGGCTCGACGACCTGCAGCTGTTCCTCCTGACTAATGCCAAGGACGGTGTTTCCCTGTTCGATTACGTGTCAGGCACTGCCGTTGGTGCTGCTGACACTGAGCCTGCTCTAGCCGCTCCCAGTGGCAGACCCGCGATGCTGCTGCGCGCCTAGCTATTCGCAACCATCTGCTGATCACAGAGCGCGCGCATTTTAGCCAGCACAAGACTGCCAAGGCACTGTACGACGCTGTAGTTGCTCGCTACTCTTCCCTGGCCACTGCAGCCCTCGCCACCCTACCTGTTCCCTGACCTGTCCTCGTTTACCACGGCTGAGGACCTCATCTCTCACCTACGCGCTAGTGACACTCGCCTTCGTGCCGCCCTTCAAGCCGAGTTCCTCGCAGAGAACCACCCCCCGATGTACTTTACTCTCTACTTCCTCATCACCCGCCTCCTTGACACTCTTCGCTCAGTCAGGGACCACTTCCTCGCCCTTGACCCTCATTCTCTCACTGTCGACGACCTCGAGAAGCACCTCCTAGCAGCCGAGAAGAACATTCTAGCTGTAGGTGCTGCTCGTGGTACTCCCCGCACTCCCCTCTTTGAGCGGTGCTCCCCCTCCCCTCTTACCCCCTCCTACGCCTCCACAGCTGCTGCTGTTGACCTCCTTGGTGCTGAGAAGATCGTAGCTGCTTCCGCTCCGAGTGGAAAGCGCAGCGGTTTCAGGGCGGGCAAGGGTGGCAGGGGTGGCGGACGTGGTGGTGGAGGGGGCGGTGGTGGAGGCGGCGGGGGCGGTGGAGGTAGTGGCGGTGGTCGTGGGGGTGGAGGTAGTGGTGGGGGCGGTGGTGGTGCCGGGAGCAGTGGCGGTGGCGGTGGCGGTGGTGGCGGAGGGGGGAGTGGTGGTGGCGGCGGTGGTGGGGGCTTGGGTGAGGCCGGTGGTGGCCAGGGACAGCAGCAAAAGCGGCAGCTGCAGCAGCCGCAGCAGCGTCAGCGCCAGACCCCCACTTCCCAGCAGCTTCTTGACTGGTATGCGAGGCATGGGGCGTCTGGGGGTCCTAGTCAATGCCCCTATATCATTCGCACAGGTCCCCGCGCTGGTCGCCAGTGCACAGGGTTTCACACTGAATACCGCTGCTTCGCTCGGCTTAGCGACGCCTGGCACGTCAAGTTTCGTGATGCTACTGATTTCCCCAACTGGGCAGACCTGCTTAGGCGTGATGTACCTATTTATGATCTTGACTATGAGGCTATTCTTCCTGCCATGTATGCATTGACTGTTAGTGCTGAGGGTGACTGCTACTTGTGTGTGCCGCCTGACCCCGATATAGCCCCAGGTATAGCGCCTGCGGCACTAGGTGCTTGTGAGTCTTTTCCCCCTGGTACTGCGTCCGCACAGGCCTTGCAAACCTTCACACTTGACTCTGATGCTTCCCGCTGTTTCTTTCGCGACAGCACCACAGTCACTCCCCTCCCGGCACCTGTTCCTGTCTCACTAGCTGACCCCTCTGAAGCCCAGTGCTTGCACAGTCTTCCACTGTGCTTCCGTGTCCGGCGGTCCCGTCTGGTGAGCTGTCTCGTCTCCACCTCCCCTCGTTCTCTCCGAACTTGGTGAGCAACGCCGTCCTTCAGGATCACTGGGTTAACACCTTTACTCCTAGAGGACAGCGTGTGGCGATCTGCACGTGCTCCTGGACCGGCCGTCACCTGGCTTCACTGGGTCGTTCCCTCCTGGTACCTAGTGGAGCCTCCGGCGGCCGGTGTACGGTCTCCGCCAGGCGCCACGTGGGTGGTACGACACACTGAGGACTACACTTGCGGCTCTTGGGTTCGCGCCTTCTACTGCTGACCCGTCGCTGTTTCTGCGCACTGGCACCTCGCTGGCGCCGTTCTATATCCTCGTGTACGTCGACGACTTGGTCTTTGCCACTGCTGACACTGCTGGACTAGCCCACGTGAAGTCGGAGCTGCAGAAGAGACATCCGTGCACAGACCTGGGTGAGCTGCGCAGCTACCTTGGCTTGCAGATCACCCGGGACAGAGCACGCCGCACCATCACACTGACTCACTCACACATGGTGCAGCAGGTCCTTCAGGCTTTACCTGGTCCTCGGCACAGGCCACTCCTCTGGCTACAGGTCACTCGCTCTCAGCTCCACCTTCGGACGAGTCCGTAGAGCCGAGTGGTCCTTACCCAGAGCTAGTTGCCTGCATCATCTACCTGATGACCTGCACTCGTCCTGACCTTGCGTACCCTCTTGGCCTTCTAGCTCGCTACGTGGCTCCTGGTTGGCACCAAAAGGTGCACATGGATGCTGCTAAGAGGGTACTGCGCTACTTGTGTAGTACATCGGGCATGGGGCTCATGCTTGGAGGACGGGGTGACGTTGTCCTCGCGGGTCATTCGCACGCTTCTCGGGTTTGACGACCAGGCTACGCAGCGGTCGTCACACGGTTACACCTTCAGTCTTGGCTCTGGCTCTGTTTCTTGGCGGTCTACGCGCGTTCTCAGCTCCAGTTTTGAGGCTAAGATCTACGCCACAGCCATGGCTGCACAGGAGTTACGCTGGCTCACCTACCTGCTGACCGACTTGGGAGAGAGGCCTCGTTCTCCTCCAGTTCTGTACGTCGACAACAAGGCCGCCATTGCCTTGTGTCAGTGGCACAGATTGGAGTACAGAACGAAGCACATCGCTCTGCTTTACTTCCTGGCTCGAGAGTTGCAGCAGCGGGGTCAGCTTCGTCTTGCTCATGTGGCCACTTGGGCCAACACTGCTGATATATTCACCAAGGCACTTCCGTCTTGTGATCATCAGCGCTTTTGTACTTTGTTGGGCCTTGTCCCTACGTTTCCACACTTGCTTTGGACTATGCTTATGCTGTGATGTATATATATATATATATATATATACCTGCATACTCGCTCTTGCTAGGTAGAGACCACTGTACTGTTCTTGTTGCATATATACCTCTGCATGTGAACTGGCCTTGTGGCTTTTTGCTTGTGCTCAGTGTGTGTGGTGACGTTGTGATCCACCCTGAGCTTGCTTTGCTTTTCTTGACTGGTCTTGTGACCTCTTGCTCTCCCCCACTTTGCCTATGGGGGTGTCTCAAACATATGCTATATATTTGTGGGTAGGCTGTAGTGGGGTAGATACTGTGAGGTATAACCCTTAGGCTTTTCTCCTTGTACCATTCTCTCGATAGTCCAATCTTCCATGCCTAAGTTTCTAAGACGGACGTCACCATCACTGGCCGCGTTCGCGGTTTGCCCCATACTTCCGTGCTGCAATGCCTGTGGTATAAGTTGTCCCGGAGTGCCAGGTGCTTGCGATTGTGCTTGTTGTGCTCGTGCGACGTCATTCTGCGGGGATGTGCGTTATGCCGTCAGCGCTGCAATTTTTTTCAGAGTTTTTCGTGCAGTTGTTGCAGCAGCTCGTTTGACGGTCCTGCGTCACCGTAATGGCGCCAATGACGAAGGGCGTCAGCTCAGCTTAGTCTAGGCGCAGTCGTGGCTGCAAGCGTTTACGAGAGAACGCGAGGACAGCGGCTCCTAGGTGCTAAGGAGCGTGAGTCCCTCATGGGGTGCGGAGATGCGCGGTCTGAAAGAAAGTGCCTCTGATAACCACGTGCTACGGGTGCAATAAATCGAGGTAGCGAGGATTGCACTAGAGTGTTCAAAGAGTTCAAAGTGTGAGTGAAGGCATGAGCGAATAGTTACACGCGAAATGTGTAAACGGTAACACGCTGCGTGCGGGCTAGCTGGTGCTACGCTGGCGCGAGGTTCAGGCTAGTCCCAAAGCTTAGGCCGACTTGGCTGCTCCAGCAGTGCGAGGTTTGGTGAAACAGTGTGCGCTGTCAAACATTATACATGTTATGCTTGTGTAGGCTACAGTGGGTTAGCCTATAGGGGGTACACAATTCTAGGGTTTACTACTTGTACTCATTTCACTTCTAGTTCATTCATTCTTGTTCGCTTATTCTCACATGGTATAGAGCGGGTCCTTCTACGGACCGTTTTTTTTTTGGGCCCACCGAAGCGCCCCCCGAGGCGCGATTTTTTTTCGCGACCCCTCGGGTCGTCATTTCCCCTGCGGCCCCGCCGCCTTCACTGTCGCGGCCCCGCCGCCTGCTCTCGCGCGGCCCCGCCCCGGCTTCTACGCGGCCCCGCCCCGGCTTTCACGCGGCCCCGCCGACGGCTTTGTCGCGGCCCCGCCCAGGCCCTTACGCGGCCCCGCCGCCTGCTCTCACGCGGCCCCGCCCCGGCTCCTTCGCGGCCCCGCCGCCTGCTCTCGCGCGGCCCCGCCCCGGCTTCTACGCGGCCCCGCCCCGGCTTTCACGCGGCCCCGCCGACGGCTTTGTCGCGGCCCCGCCCAGGCCCTTACGCGGCCCCGCCGCCTGCTCTCACGCGGCCCCGCCCCGGCTCCTTCGCGGCCCCGCCGCCTGCTCTCGCGCGGCCCCGCCCCGGCTTCTACGCGGCCCCGCCCCGGCTTTCACGCGGCCCCGCCGACGGCTCTGTCGCGGCCCCGCCCAGGCCCTTACGCGGCCCCGCCGCCTGCCCCCGTCGCGGCCCCACCCAGTCGCGGCCCCGCCCCATCCCGGCCCCGGCTCCATCGCGGCCCGGTCGCCTCCTGACGGCCCCGCCGTCCCTTCGTGACGGCCCCGCCGTCCCTTCCTGACGGCCCCGCCGTCCCCTCCTGACGGCTCCTGCCGTCCCCTTCTACCGGCCCCGCAACTGCACCTCCTGGCCCCGCCGCTGCACCTACCGGCCCCCACCACCCCCCCCCTTTTCCCGTCGCCCGTCGCGGCTCCTTCGGGGGCCGCAGCAGAGGGGTGGCAGGTGTGTGGCCTCCCCTGCTTCTCCTCCTCCTTCATCTCCCACTGCAGCAGCCGAGCCGCTCACCTGCAGCAGCCAAGCCGCCCCACCGCCGAGCCGCCCTGCACCCGAGCCGCCCAGCAGCCGAGCCGCCCTGCCGCCGAGCCGCCGGGTCGACGAGCTGCTGAGCTGCAGTTGCTGCCGAGCCGCCTTGCCGCCGAGCCGCCCAAGTCGCCCGAGCCGCCGAGCCGCCGAGCTGCCGAGCCGCTGAGTCGCCGAGCCTACTCTTCCCACCACTGGTGAGCTCTTGCCCTGCTAGCACGCTGCGCGTCGCCTGCTTGCCTGCCTGCCTGCCTTTTGGCTTGCCTGGCTGCCTGCCTTCCTGCTGCTAGTCCTGCTCCTGCTTCTGCTTGCGGAGCCAGATGCAGCCCCAGCGACGCCTGCGTGAGTCCCTCACGCCCCAGCAGCTGCGTGAGTGGTACGCTGGTTGGGGCTGTAGGGGTGGCGACGCTACTCCTACTACCACTCCTGCTGCTTCTACTCGTGGTGGCGGCCAGATGCAGCTCCCGCGACCCTCTCGCGTGTCTCTCACGCCTCGCCAGCTTCGTGAGTGGTACGCTCAGAGTGGAGGGTCTCTCAGTGCTGTTCGCTGCTCTTACGTGATTCGCACTGGTACTCGGACTGGTCAGCCTTGTGGGACACGTAGTCATACACAGTCCCGCTGCTTCGCCCGTCTGAGCGACGCCTGGCGTACCGTGTTTGGCGACGAGGCTGAGCTTCCCGACTGGGTGGAGTTGCTTAGGCAGAGGGTAGATATATATGCTCTTGACTATGATGCTATTCTCACTGCCATGTATGCATTGCCTACTAGTGCTGACCGTGCCGGTCACCTGTGCGTCCCGCCTGACCCAGGTATAGGACCTGCTGCTCTAGCTACTGGTGAGGCTGCTGCTGCTCTGGGTGCTAGTGAGTCTCCTGCTCCAGGTACAGGTGCGGCTGCTGCTCTAGGTGCTAGTGAGTCTGCTTCCTCAGGTGCGGGTGAGGCTGCGCTCTCAGGTACCGCGTTGGCTTCGGCCTCCCTCACCTTTACACTTGACTCTGGGGCTTCTCGCTCCTTCTTTCGGGACCGCACCACACTCACGCCGCTTGGTCGGCCGGTTGCAGTCTCCCTGGCAGACCCCTCAGGGGGTCCTGTCCTGTCTCACTTCTCCAGTGTCCTCCCGTGTCCGAGTGCCCCCTCTGGCACCTTGTCTGGTCTTTACCTCCCCTCGTTCTCTACGAACTTGCTGAGTGGTGCTGACCTACACGATGCGGGGGTTCACCAGTTTACTCCTGCGAGTGAGCGGGTGACCCACTGCTCGGACGCTCGCACAGGCCGACACCAGGCCACGTTTACACGTCGGCCGGGGTCGAGCCTGTACACCCTGACCACTGAGTCTCCTCCTGTCCCTGCGTCTGGTCAGGTAGCTGCGTCGGGTCAGGTGTTTGCTGCAGCGTCCAGGTCTGGTCCTGAGTCTGCCCCCTGTTCGTGTCGCCTCCTGTCTCACGAGACTCTTCTGTGGCACCACCGTCTAGGCCACCCCTCCTTGCCCCGTCTTCGAGGCATGGCTTCCCGTGTCCTTGTCTCTGGTCTTCCCCAGTCTCTCCCTCCCCTTCCTTCGGGACCAGGACCTTCCTGTGTCCCCTGTGTCGAGGGGCGCCTCAGGGCTGCTCCTCACTCCTCCCAGTTTCCCCCGACAGAGGCTCCTCTGCAGACGCTTCACATGGACGTGTGGGGCCCGGCCCCCGTCCGTGGGCAG